AAGCAAGACGCGAATGGAAATGTCTCTAGCTCGGTCGCTGGTCTTGATGGGTCGGCGAGGCTGGTGGGGAGCCAGCTGTGCTCCTGTGGACGTCTTGGCAGCAGACGCGGCAGCGAGGCCATCGGCATCAGCAGAGGATAGTAACAGAGCGCCAATGCGCGCGCAAATTTCGTCGGCCGAGTCGGTCGCTTGATCGGCATAGTATGTGTGGGTGCCCACAGCACCGATGCAGTCGATGAGGGCCGGTAGTAGCGCATCATCCGGGTTGGCGTGGGTACGCCTGACGGCTAGACCAAGCAAATTGGAGATGGTGTCGCTGGTGCTTAAGCCGATGAGGGACAATTTGCTCCTCAACAGGCCTGAAATCATGACGAGCAGAGTCTCCGACTTGCGCGATGACGAATCGCCGGTCGGAGGGGATGGCGACGAAGCTTCGGTCTCGACGAGGTTTTCGAGCAGAGCGTTGAGGATCAAAAACCTGTATGGCTGTGCTGTCCAGCTAGTCAGTGCTTCAGCGAGCCAGACGCACCATGACACACTGCATTTTGACCAGGCAGTCGTGCCGTCGAGGTAAGCAATGACTGCCGTGGCGATGATCTGGACGTGACTGGCATCGGCATTGTGCAGTAGACCTTGGAGGGTGGAGATGGCTGAAGAAGCAGCGTCTTTTGCTGTATACGTCTTTTCCGTAGCTGCTGTGCCGGAAAGGCTGGGCGTGCGACGAGAGGCGATGGGACGACGCTTTGCATTGTACTCTGCAAAGCTTGGAGAGCCTTGAGCGGCCTTTGCAGCCTCTGAGCGAAGGTAGTCGAGATTGACGGCATCTGATTCGAGGAGATTTGCGAGAAGAGCGGGCACGATGATGTTGGTCTGTTCCTTGAAGCTGGACGTGTACAAAGCGTCGGAGCCCACAGCGCCGGCCAAGGCGCCAAGACCTATCAAGCGAATTCTAGGGCAGATTACGCATGCATGTCAGGCAAGCGTCACAGCGCCGTTTAAGAACGCGATTTTGCCAACGGCGGCCTCACCTGCTGGTATCCTCCTTGTCGTTGGTCTGCTCGGTAGCGACGCGGGCAAATTGCTTGATCAGACCTTGGTAGCGACCATCGGCGTTTGCGGTTGCGGGGTCGATGTAGTTGGCAATGGCGTAAAAGGTGCTTGCGGATCTGGTTGAAATATCCAGGTCACGACGATTGGCAGCAGGTCCAGGTCCAGGCCCAGCTGCAGCAGCGACGATGGATTGGTGAAGAATGTCTTGAGCGGAAGAGGCAAAGTAGGACAAATGCGATTTGCAATCCGTCACCAACGACTTGACGATCGCAAGCGTCAACATCAAGCCACTTTGCGTGCGTGCGTGCGTGCGTGCGTGCGCGTGTGGACGTCGTCAGGGTCAGCATGGTCCAGCATTTGCGCTCATGTCACT